CCTGGCTACAGAGGCCCTTTTCCTGGTGGTTCCTCCTCTTGTCTGAGCAAGGTGCTCATCCATCTTCTCTAAACACAGAAGGCACATGATGGGAGAGAATGAAGAAGATGGAGACAGATTCTTTTCGGTTGTGCCTACTGACTGGGCAAGAGGCAATGGGCACAAAATAACCACATAAAATTACATCTGAGCACAGGAGAACATTTTTTTAATATGAGGATTGTCAAACACTGGAACAGGTTGCCCAGACAGGTATTACAGTCTCCTTTTGTGGCTATTTAAAACTTGTTTAAACACAGCCCTGAGCAATAGCGTACCATTTTGTTGACTACTGGAAAACCATATGCAAAAGATAACAAATGAAACAAAGTGCTCTGGTTAATTCTTTATTTTTTACATCAAATACATTGATAAAAATCTTGCACCAATCGGGTAGCCTATCGGATTTTTCATTTAGACTTTTTTAGAACTTTTTTAGGTGCAAAACAAAGAGAAAACAACAACAACAAACCTCACCAAAACAAGGACATCAATAATTTTATATGCATCACTGAAAGAACAGAATACTTCAACAAATACATTACGGCAGCTGAGCCTATATCAAAGGAAGGACTTTCCATGGACAGACTACATAGTGCACACGAAAGCATTACTTTTATAGTATATACAATAAGGTGATACATAAAGTGGCTTGTTAATGCAAGTCTTGTGATTAGAAGTCTATCCCTTCATTTTCCAGCGGGCACTTCCTGAAGAAAAAGACTTCTAAGTATAGGCACACAGGCGTACAGAGCATATGAATTTGCAAGACGGCAGCATATACATTTTTAAAATTTGTTTGTTTGTTTTTTTCTCTAGGCACATTTGAATGCAAAAAGATATTTTTAGATTTCTTTTTTTAACAGTGCAAAACTGAGTACCCTTATGTGCAACAATCACTTTGAAAACCATTTTAAGGATATAAGGCTATCTGCACTTGAAAGATGAAAGAGAATTGCAAATAGAAAGGGCAGGACATTCATATTAGGGAAATATTAATCTAAAATTCTCAGATCAATTTGAGATCATGCTATAGTTGCAGATGACACCAGAGACTGGTTGGTATTACCAGACCATAATTTATAAGACTCATCTTTCACGTGTTGAATTTCTATCTGTAAAGCTACATTACAGTTGTAGATGGCTTTGAAAATAGCCATCTCTTTATTCAAAGTGAGAAATGCACTTCACATAAGTTCAGCTGAGAATGCCTTATGTATAAATCCCATTAGCTTTACTTTGGGTTGCGTTCTAATTTTAAAGCAGGATAAAATATGCAGAAGAGAGGCTTGCTGAGTTCCTGCCAGAGCCTGTGGTAAAAGTACAATCCTAGTGACGCAGAAATTTTACTTTGCTGGTAATTTGAATAATTTCAACCATTTGGCACAACTCTTAAGGAATCAGTTGGCATCAACTGAAATGGATGGAGGCTCCAATACAAACCCTGGCTTGGATGAAGAGGGTGATTTGAGTTTTACTTTGCTTTGCTTTCCCTTTTTTTTTTTTTTAAATTTATATCATTTCACCCCAGTACAAATCCTACTGCCCCAATGGGGAGTTTTACCTGAGACAAAGTCTGCAACATCAAGACATGGCTTGAACCACTACAAAGCAGAGTAGCTCCCACAGATTGTTGGAAACTTAAGACGCCACTAAGTGCTACACATCACCCTAGATCCTCTCCTGCCTCCCAAGGTTTTTGTAATCATTAACAAACATATTCTCAAGTAAAGCAAGTTCATCTGATCTATTTATGTTTGGCTTGTGCTGGTATTACAATGCCTATGTTTCTAGGGTTTTTTTTGGTTTTTTGATTTATGTTTTTTTAAAAAAAAAATCTCTGTATAAACATTATAAAATAATTATTTCATTAGCTGTCCAGAGATATCACTATGAATATTTTGGTAAAAGCATAATTAGCTGCCTTGAATAGTTTTCTTTCAATTTATTTATTTTACATGCTATATATTTTTATTTAATATCCAGCACCAGGTATTCAGGTAGTACTGGTTTGTCAGCTGCAAATATAAAGTATATATGTGTATATATATATTTATATATACACACACACATATAATAGCATTCTGTGAAATAAAAATTACCAAATGTCAGGCACAATTGTTTGCATACACAAGAGCATAATTCAGAACTACATATGAAAACAGTTGCCATTTTTGTACCATATATTTTGTTTAATCAGTTTAATAGCTACATTCAGCTGTCTGATATGTGGACAACATCTTTATAGATAACTATGGGAAGGTTCCTAATTCGTTAAGGTGCTGCTTCAATTAAAATCTGATGAACAAGTTAATGATACATCTTGAAATTGCCCCAAGGTAAATGAACTTATTACTGCGAATCTCTATTTTTCTTTCTTGGGTGCCCTTTACTCTTGTCACCACAAACGTGGGAAGGACTGGTTGAACCTAAGTTACTTCCTTGCAAGGGGCTGAGCCTACAAAAGGATTCATAATTAAGATTGTGAGCTGACTTACTATTCCTTATGTTCCAAGACATGTCACAATACCCTTCTGTCTGCCGCGTACCTCTTCAAATCATGCTTATCCAGCTTCACTGGGAAAATTCTTTGAACGTTGCAATGAACTGTTCTGGGATGTAGGAAGGGAGACCTTCACTTAAACCAATTTGTCTTGCAGTTTATGAACTTGATCTGTCTTGGGAAACACCAAGCTACACATGCAATATTTAAAGAGCAGTTCTAAAGCACACTGGGCTACAAGTGAATGATGATGGTGTAAGCACCTAAGTGTAACTACAGGGATTCCTGTTCTCCATTCAGATCTTAGCCTGCACTCATTTCAGGGCATTAGTGATTTTTCTAATACATTTGAAAACCAGCTACTAAACAAAACAAAACGTGCATTTTCTTTCAAGGCATTTAGGAGCCCTCCAAAAGCTCTTAGGTATCAAATTTGTACATACACACACACACACACTTACTAAATACACAAAAAGACAAAGCCTTGAGCACATTCAGAAAAAAATTACACTAATATGCATCAACAAAAGGCCTATTAACTTACAGGGACTGCTTCACATGTTTAGCCTTACACAGTTTTCAAGGAATCTTCTCAAACATAGGTAGCATCTACCTTTAGTCTTTTAAACTGTGCATATCCTCAGATATGTACATGAAACTGTTATAGACATCATTATGTACATTCACTAAAGAATCAAATCCTTGACTTGGAGTACTAACTTGTCCTATGCCTTGCTGCCTTCACATTCTCTGTGTGATTCGATCTCACTGCACACAGACTCTGCTTGTGTAACAGGGAGCGTAATTAGACATAGGCACCCCTGTATGGCATTAGTTGCACTATTTCCTATTTTTAGATACTACAGAATATTCCAATCAACATAATCAAACTGAAAGGTTTCAGCTATAGCAGAAAAAGAAGCATCCCTGAACCCTTCTCTAGAATTGTGGCCAGCTGCTGTGGGGCAGCCTACGCACATGCTATGAAACGTCTTTACTGGCAGGGTGGTCGCTTCCAACCAGCTATTGGAATAGCCACTGGTCCATGCTGACTTCCAAACTGCACCTGTAAGCCAGAAGTGCAGATAGCACAGGCAAATTTTATCATTAGACTAATAAAATATCCCTGGTATATGTAACAATCACATTCCAGTACCCAGCAGTGTTCCCTGACATATTTAATTTTCTAGCATAGAGGCAGTGAAACAGCAGCACCAACTCCTACTTCGAGTAGCACATAGTCTGGGTTTCTTCAGTCTCTCTCCTTCATGTCTTGCTGAAACTCTTGATGTCAGTGGACCTTTTCTGTATTTACAGTTGGTCTGAAGAATCTGACTAATCCTTATGAAAAACAGTTAGTTACAGAAATGCACAGAAGAAGCCATTTTTATCTTCATTGACATGCAGCCACAGCGTCTTCACCATTTCTGAGGCTCATTGTCACAGATGAGCTGGCTCTTAACAGTGATTTCTGAGCATGCTCCAAGGAGAGCCGAAGAAAGCCCAGGGAATGCAAAGCCAGCTGCTCTGGCTGTGATGCCAGCCCTCCCATTCATGGCTAGGCCACACTCTACTGAAAGGAATGGGACCATCCCACCATCTTGTGCCAGTCTTGCACTGGCATCCTAACCCCTTGGTATGTAGCACAATGAAGCAAAGGACAGGGGGAGGTTTTTATAAAATAGAGCTTGACCATGCCATGTGTGAAGACTCTTTTTTTAAGACTTGATGATTTCGTAATCATCTAGTCTGATTTAAGAGTAATTATCTGTTATCACTGTTTACCATGTTGCCTTTGATTTACATCTTGCCAAACAATGCAACAGTTTAGCTTTGTAGGATCAGACAAGATAGGATGCATGCAATGCAATTTAGCTAGAGGATATGATACAGAAACCTAAGAGTTTGGTCAGTATGATCTTGAGAGGGAGTTGTCTGTTAATGTAAGCCAGCAAGGTAAAACAGTATTCTTCTTAGACAGGGGTTCCTTTCTACTGTAGGAAGAGAGGTGGGAATCTACCTAAACTACCAAGGCAGTCACAGTCGCCAACAGTGCGTTTTCACTATCGCACACTAAGATGCCAATTAGCTTTCCATTTACTTGCCCCCCCAAAAGTCATCCATAATCTCTACCAAACTGCTTCAAATTTTCAAGCAAGTAAAGAATTAAGCGAGTGCAGAATTTGGGGTGGATATCAACAAAAGCTACCACTCATAAAGATCACAATACACATAGGTGGTATGGCCTGTTAATTTCAGGAAAAATGAATGTTCAGTTTACATTAGGACGTACCCAACTTACAAGCAAAATGAAATAAAAACACTGCAAGTTTTAAAATGAGTTAGCCTGACAATCCTTGCTAGCCTTGCTGGCTATCCATAGCAATTAAATGTCTTCCATTTAGGGTAAGCAATCAACTGAGGCAAGCACTTGCCAAACACTCAAATGGAAAATGCAGGTGACTGTTGTCATTGGAGTGTTTACACAGGCACTACAGACAAAGTGAAGCAGGAGCTAGGCAGTATGCTGCTGGGTTTCTCATACCATTATATATGCTGACTTTTGATTATATTGTATTCTGCATATTCTCCTCCTCTTTGCCATTTATATAAAAAGACTGCAAGGAATGAGATGTAGCTGGTGCAGTTGTCAGCTGGCTCCGGTTCTCCTCTTCCATCGGTGCAGCGCTCCGGGCTGCTGGGGCATGCAGTCGGTGAGCATCCAACATCTCCAGCAAGAGATCATAGAGTGGAACTACATTTTTACACTTCATATTGTACAGGTGCTCCATTCCTTTGTTGCTGTGGGTTGTAACAAAACAGTGGTTACTTTCCAGTATGGTATGGGGAAACAAAAGCTATCAGCTGATAACATTTGTTAGGTTCCTAAAAATTCCGCCTCGTACAAAACAATTACCAGTGCAGTTGCTGTATGCCACTGACATGGGTAGCAGAAGAAAACACCTTCAAATAACATTTCAGACTGCCCATGAGCAGTTTGCCTTCTAAAGGTGATTCTTTTGCTGTCCTTTGCCTAGATGGTAGCCTAGGGCACATGGACTCCTAATTTAGTCACTGTGACACCACTCTATATGCAGTTTTCACTCCCACCTGTGAAGGAAAAAGTGTGGGCATGTTTGTGAAACCTCCATCGCATGGGACCAGTGCAGGAGGGATGACTGCATACTTGATCTCACCTCATGTGTCTGATGTGAGAGAGGATGAGGAGGAGCTGAGCTAGTCGTCTGTGTTGCTGCTGCAGAGAAAGACCCGACTTGGCCATTAAATGTATCAGAGTGTCTGTGATTTTGTCTAGAACCCGGTGAATATAGTCTCTCTCTTCCAGAGATTTCAAGGTGCTGGAAAGAAAAGTGTACACACCTGGAGTAGGAAGGAGAAAGAAAACAAACCACAGACAAAAATGACTTTGATGGAATCAACTTGCCCAAAGTACACCTCCTGGCTCTTCAGCTGTGTTAAAGCATGGGAGCTGACTGTTCATGAACTCTCCTGCTTGCCAGTCACTGGTGTGAATGATCCTGGAGCTTGGATTTGGTCACTGTGGGCAAAGCAGGAGGACCATGATGCCTCTTTCCCACCCAGATCTGGGCCAGATGGCAGGTGACACCTGCAGCCTGCACGTAGACCAACCCACAGGCTTTGCTCTTCTCGTAGTCACTTGGCTCCGAAACCTTTAGGAGATACTGTATCCCCTTGAGAGCTCTGCAATACTTACTGACCACCCCAGCCTTTGCTGGTTTTTGCCCTTTTCTCTGCTGTTTAATGCTAGATTTTTGGTGATTTACAAGTCAATCTAGAACTTAAGAATATGTTACCACAAACATGGAAACAAAATCAGGGTTTCTTTGTGCACACTCACCTCTACAAGGCCCCCCAACCAAGCAGGAGACTGGAAAGGTGTGCTCCTTCACCTGCAAACCTGCCTCTCCTTTAAAAACCATGTCTAAAGCAACCTGTATTAATTTAGCCACCTTTATGCTTATTGCTGAAAATGAGCATCCTGAAGATCTGGACTGGGAGGAAATTTTTCAGACATAAAAACACCTTCCAACTCCTCCTCCAACAACTCTTCTACATCTCCTATAGAACACTGTAACCCAGGCATGAGAGCTTTTGCCAGTAGCAGTTCTTGGGTGCAAGAAGCACACGATCATTCTAAATGGAAAATTCTAAACTATTTGGCATTTTTTATCTATTGTGTGTTCCAGACAACAACACAAAGCCAAGGTGAATCAGGTCACAACAGCATTGTGCTGCTAAAAGGCAGCTGTTGCATTCAGCACCATGTTTTTAACCTTCTGGATGCAGCCAATAACTCTAAACAGGCTGTATAACTATAATCCAGACCTGAGGTAGCAAAAGCTTAAGATGTATGTACAGTAATACAATCCAACTGGATGGATCATGGTGTGTTCATTCCCCTGTGTCTACAATGTATTTGACAAATCCTTTGCTATAGCCCTTCTGCACCAGCCCACAGAGCCAAGAAAAAAAACCTGCATTTTTTTCTTGGAAAAAAAATGGTTTCTGGAATTACTTCATTTTGCTTTTCTTTAAAGCATCATATGTAATACAATATGCAATGCAGTTAGTGATATTAAGAAAAAAAAGAAACATACACACACAGCCATGTACACCTACAGAGACATATATACTCTACTTTGTTGGAATTGTTTGAAGCCTGGGGTCTGTACCATTGGACTTGAAGCTAAGAATCTGAACAGTCAGGGAGATTTAGATTTTTTTTACCATCTTCTTGGCATACCTCACCTTCTCACATCATCTTGGTATTTCAGGGACCTGACACCTAGAACTACTGAAACCTGCAGGTAGATTTTATGACTGTGGGTCTTCTGTACTAAAAAGTAATACAAATTTGCATTTGTGAATGTCAGTGTGTCTGGGAGAGAGCTCAAGTGAGAGGGAGTTCTTAAAAAAAAAAAAAACCAAAAGGATAACTCAAACACATCACAACTTCTGAAAACCATTAGTGAGAGCTCTTAATTTTGGTAATTAATATTGCTTTGAATATGATATAGATCAGTAGTACAATGGCCTCTTTTCTCACAAAGCTTTTTATGAGTATTATTATTTTTACTGACATGAGTTCACTTAAGAGAAGCAGCTCCTTAGGTTTTTCTCAGCTGAATGACTCTTAACCCTCACATATGCCTATTGACCAGGATTTATAGCTTAGCAGATACCTGTAGGGGCAAGATTCTTAAACATTACTGACAAAACCACAATCCATTAGAAGAAAACATGTCTCATAAACCCACAGTACCTCCAAAGCAGCTTACTTCAGCCAGAGGATGCTGTTGTGCCCTTGTAGCCATCCCCCTTAGTTTCATAACTTTAAAACCAGCAAGGGGGAAAAAAAATAAAATAAAATAAACCTGTTAAAATGTTTCTCACCTAGATCGAGTCTAGAAGCTATTAAAAAGTATAAATCAAAAAAGCACTCCCCCCAAACTGTAGAGGCTTCAGGCAATTGGCAATCGATAACTACCAAGAAAAATGACCTTTGGATTTCCTTTCTGCCCCCAGGTGATTGTTCCTGCCCCAGGCCATTGACCAGAAATTTCCCCAAAAGAAATTCCAGCTATCCATCACACACATACATGCACAGGCAGAGTTTTGGAATAAGAGTTCAGAATATTGTCTTAGCAAAGTGACATTTAACAGACTCAAAGGGCTTTCCAAGTTCTGATGCGCTGAAAGCAAGCATAAATTGAATAGCTACCAGGTTGTTTTCTAGCCCTTCCTGTACGTCAGTGTTATAAAACATAATAGGAGAACAGAGGAAGCCCCACCTTGCAAACGAGGCAAAACTATTGGTCTGTGCCCAGAGTACAAAACTATGCACAGGACAGGGTCCCTTGGGGCCTGCATACATAGCATCACTCCTCTTTTTGTATATGTTGAAAAGTAAAATATCTGGCAACATCTTGCCATTTCATGTTTCTAATACTTATTTCCCAGTGTTAAGAAACAGCCCTTTATTATTGAGCTGAATGTGTTTTTTATAGACTCATAGAATGCCAGGTTGGATGGGACCTCTAGGATCATCTGGTCCAACCTTTTAAAAATACATTTTTGCTTTCTAGTTGAAAGATTTATTGTTGCAGCTTTAGAGGGGCACCTTCTGGTTTATTTAGGTAGAGACAATGCTGTCCTTGTTACAGACATGCTGTCCCCTTGATATTTCAGGAAAAAATTGGAAGTAGCATAAACGTATATTTTGCTTTTTAAGTAAAATGTTCCATCTTTTCCACACATACTGAGTGAAACTAAAAAAATGCTCTTGCATTTTGCCAAAGATCACATGGAATACAAGTGTAAAGATATTAAAAAGTCTTGACAGATGTTGGGGGGGGAGGGGAAGGAAAAAAAAAAAAAAGAGAGAGAGAAAATAAATGTCCAACAAACCAATAAACAGCACTACCTCATATGAAGAGACTAACTGATGTCCAAGAATTTAAAAAATGTTTATGTACACTCAGTGAATTATATCCACATAAAGCTTTAGAATGCAAATGCAGACTGCATTTAAAGATTAAATGTAGCACAACTAGTCCAATTTGTTTAATTAGTCCACTTGTTTAAATCATTTTGAGATCAGCTGGTTTAATCATATGCATACATAATACAGATAGCATAAGGGCCAAAAATTCCTTGTGTATTTATCTGCTCTTTCTTTAGTAGAAGATTTGTGTATATTTACATGTGCAATCATAGGAAAAAAAAACAAAACACAACAGGCTAGGAGAGGCTTGGAGGTAATCTGCTTCGTCCTCCTGCTCAAAGAGCTGTAACATCAGGGATAGGTCAAGCTGCCCAGAGCTTTGTCCAGGTGAGTTTTGAGTGTCTCAGGACAGAGATAGTACAATCTTTCTGGCCAGCCTGTTCCAGTGCTTAATCTCTTACTGACAAGATTTTTTGTTCTGTTCATCGAGTCAGGACCTCATTTGCTCTGGTTTGTCTCCACTGTAGCTTGTCCTTTCCTCTTGCACCTCTGGCCCTCACCTCTCCATAGCCTGTTCATCAACTGTCTGAAGACTGCAGTTAGACCTGTCCCTTTTCCAGGATGAAAAAACCCTGCTCCCTCAGCCTCTCCTCACACATCATGTATGCTGTGTGCTTGAGAGCATATAATATTTCCTGTGTGTCCAACACTTTACCTAAGGAGCCAGGCTGTACTCTTGTGAAGAAAGGCATCTCCAGAAGATGTTTTAGAGTATCTATGCCAAACCCACAACTATTAAACATACCCCAAATTATGCTACTTATCTCTGTCACGCAGTTTAGCCTCCTAACTTGGGCATCTAAAGAGTCTAAGAGTCAGAAATTCATGTACACATTCCCACCACCTAACAGTTAACTTCTCAGACAGTTATAAAATCAGGTGGTTATAGGAAGGCCAAAACTGAAGTGAAAAATTAATTACCTTTATTTGTAAAGGCAATTACAAACAATACAGACACAGATTCTGTGGCCATACATACATACACAATCAGTTTACAGTGTACTGAGACTGCAGCAAGTGCAGTTTGTAAGCCAGAATAGAACATGATGCTCTGCATAACAGTGGTATAAATTGCTTTCTTTATGAATCTGTAGCAGCTTAACCCTAACTGTGCTCTCTGAGCAATAGCTGCAAAGATCCTGGTAAAAATTCTAGCACCTGTAAACTTTGACTTAATGAAAAAAAAAAAAGCCACCCCCAAAATCAGATCACTCATCAGATCAACTCTGATCTGTCAAATATTAACCTTGAAAGAATGAAGATCTAACAACTCCTACCCTAACTCAGTGGTCCCATCTTACTTATATGCAGAATGAAATTTGCCTCCATTTATCACTGACTTCATTTGATGTATTATTTTTTTTTAATAATTTTTCCATAGGGGAATGTCCATTAACCAAGTGAGATGTGATTATGAAGGATAGCAGGTGATGTCTGGCAGAGTTTTGTCTAAATAACAAATTTAGTTTTCTGGATCACGATGTGAAAGCTGATGTGCTTTATTCAAACTTCTAATTCTATTTTTTTTCTAATTCAATATTTCTATAAATCAATTACATATTCCAGATATATTGAAGAGGATAATTGCACTCAAAACTATTAGCTAAAAATCTGGAGGAGCATCACTTTTCAGAAAGAACATTTACCTCTAGGAAATATTCTAATTATCAGCACAATAAACGGAAAATGTCAATCAGTAAGTACAATTGTCATACCCTGGCATCCAAGATAAAAATCACAGCCCTTCATTCCTAATATGCCAGGTGCTTGCCTCAGATGTCCCTTTTTGATAATTGGTGACAATCACAACAAAACTCAAATCACATCATATCTCCTAGAACATAAATGAAATGTTTTATATTTGATTGTATAAATATGTAATTTTATTGTAATTGTTTTGTTGGGTTTTTGTGAACAAGCCATTTCCATATGGAAACAGGTTTCCATAAAGGCAGATGTGCCTGATCACTAAAGCAAAGTTTGCTGTGTTTAGAGTTAGTCTTTGGTGGGAATTACCTGAATTTATATTTAGAATCATAGAATCTTAGGGGTTGGAAGGGACCTCTGGAAATCATCGAGTCCAACCCCCCTGTTAGTGCAGGACCACCTAGGGCAGGTCACACAGAAACACATCTCTCCATAGAAGGAGACTCCACAACCTCTCTGGGCAGCCTGTTCCAGTGCTCTGTCACCCTCACAGTAAAGAAGTTTCTCATGTTGAGGCAGAACTTCCTGCATTCTAGTTTGTGTCCATTGCCCCTTGTCCTATCACAGGGCATGACTGAAAAGAGATTACCCCCTCCTTGTTGTCACCCACCCTTTAGATATTTATATTCATTAATAAGATGCCCTCTCAGTCTTCTCCATAATAAATAGCCCCAGGTCTCTCAGCCTTTCCTCATAAGGCAGGTGTCTCAGTCCCTTAATCATCCTCATAGACCTCTGTTGGACTCTCTCAAAGTAAATCCCTGTCTCTCTTGAGCTGGGGAGCCCAGAACTGGACACAATACTCCAGCTGTGGTCTCACTAGGGCAGAGTAGAGGGACAAGAGAACCTGTTTCGTATCCTCAGCAACCTTTCTGAGGATACACTCTACCCTCTCATCCAGGTCATTGATGAAGATGTTGAACAGGACTGAACCCAGCACTGGCCCCTGGGGAACTCCACAAGCTACAGCTCTCCAGCTGGACTCTGGACCATTGATCACCACACTCTGAGCTCTGTTTTTTAGCCAGTTCTCAATCCATCTCACTGTCCACTCTTCTACACCACCCTTCCTAAATTTGCTCACAAGGATGCTACGGGAGATGGTATCAAAAGCCTTGCTAAGGTCAAGGTAGACTACATCCACTGGTCTCCCCACATCTACCCATTCAGTCACACCATCATAGAAGGCTATTAGATTAGTGAAATATGATTTCCGCTTTGTAAATACATGTTGGCTATTCCTGATAACCTTCATTTCTTCCATATGCTTAGAGATTACCGCCAGACCACCAGACAAAAGGGACATACAGCCCCCCCATGTTCTTTGTCTAGAGGTTGATATCATCTAATAGTTCAAGCCCAACAGGAGAAGACAAGAACAGTGGAGTAAATTCACAGAGCTGGGAAACTCTGGCAACTGTTAGGTAACAAGTTAGCAGAAAACTAAGTCCAAATTTTTTACTTTACTGCTTACATTATTATTTTACACCTTATCATTTCCATGAAAACACCATGAGCCTCATTTATGTGTTAAAAAAAAATTTTCTAGAGTTCTTTGTCGTTTCAAACAGAAAAGCATTCTCTGGTGCACAACACACATTTTCTGTCACATACTTCAAAACAAATTTGCATGTTTCTATCATCTAACGTAGAATTCAAGTCAGCTAACATTGCATCTTTACACCTACATTTGTAATCTAGCCACCCAATTTTGAAGTATACTTCAGAATGAGATTTACAGCCCAAAAATACTTCTTTCATCAACTATAAAGGAAGTGGAAGGTGATTACATCAGTTTTATATGCCTGTATTTTAATATAAACTCAGCCACATTTTGCCATTTTTGCCCTTTATTTTGCCATCATCAAAGAAAGAAAGTGCGAATTCACAAGTGTTGCCTCTGGGTGCCCTAAGTGTGGCTCCAGCTACTTCAGTGTCTTGTAATCAGAGCATTAACAAGACTTGCCAGCTCCTAGTTCAAAATACTGCTCTGATTGCTCTTCACATCAGCTGTACATAGGCTGCCAACTACTTACTGCATCGATTTGTTGGGTCCCATTGACACCACTGAGCAAGTTTGCCTATTTCTATCCCTGCCCAGTGGCTCTGCCTCCATCTGTGTTGACAGACCCCTTTTGATTGCTGCTGTCTCAAAATGGAAACATCATTAGCAACTACGAGCAGCATTCACCCACAGGCAGAAGCAACCCCAATTACCCAAGTGACAGCAAAGCACACCACTTACCAGAATTGAGCAGGATGATGGACTTAAGGCACACAAATTCCTCCCCTTGAAGGTTCATCATGCGAAACCGAGCAGCGGTAGCCAGCAGCATGTCAAAGATTTCCACCATGCCCTCTACACATTTGCCTTGATTCCTGTGAGAATACCATTAAACGGGAGATACTCACAGCTTTTCCCCAGTGACGGCATGAGCTTTTCATCCCCCTGGATTAAATGATCCAAATGACCCTCCAATTTGATTTCATTAGTTCCTTACTTAGCACATGACTCCCTAGTCAGTGTTCATTTTGTGTATGTACAACTACAAAAACCTAGTTCCCAGTATCCCACATAAAATTAATAAATAATTAAACACTATATTCCCTATTCCCCCAAAAAATGCTAGTTTCATAAATCCATCGCTGAGAGGCCTTGCTGTGGTGAGATATGAGAGTGGTCTCCATATGAGAGTGACTCAACCAAACCCTTACATGGTGGACAAATATTTGTTTAAATCTACTTTGTGTGTCTTCTGCTTATGTTACTTCATTTCCCATTTTTGTTTTTGTTTTTCCATTGACTGAAATAGCCCAAATTCTGTGCATTTCTCCATTCCTAATGTTTTGTACTTGTTTCTACCTGGCCTTGGAATCCTTTATGTTCCAACACACTTACTCATGTTCTCAAGAAGAATTTAGAAAACCAAAATCTTGTCTTTATGACTGAGTGATTAAAAATACCACTACACTCCACAAAGCAGATCTCTTTTTACACTACAGCATTAAACAAAGCTGAAGTTTGGGAAATCTCAAAGTGCTCATTAGAAATGGCAATTAACCACCTCTCTCTGCTCACAGTACCAGGTATTCTCACTCATTCATTTTTATCTTGCACACTCAACCTGCAGTTCAAGTATTAATGCAGATTGTACTTATTTTTTATGACAATTTAGTCAGCAGACTTTCTGGTCATGGAATTTTAGATAATTTACATTGCTACCTTTTAAGAAAAAACACCTACTTTTGCTTTAATTAGGACTTCCTGAGTGAAATTTTAACATGTCAGATTTAGTGAGTGATCAGTGGTTAAAAATATATTATTTTTTAGAGGTGACTTTTATAGAAAAAAAAATTAAGATAATTACTATAGGAAGATGCAAAAGCAATTTCAAATTATCAGATGGCTTTTCCACTACATTTTGTAACATAAACACAGCTTGAGCATCTCCTAACCACATTGCATCAAAACCAACGCTGACTACCAGCACAGATACACCTACCTCAGTCCTCATGCAGCTGTGCTGTTGAGACCCTGTAGGTAATGCCTAGACTCACAGCAGACCCTCAGACAAAGCAGTCACCTTCCTTTTTGACTACAGCCTGAGAAAATTCTTTGAACTTCTCAATCATGTCTAAACCTTAAATTGAGTCAAAGAAGGAGCAAGGTTATCTGTAAGCACTTGTGCACCCATCTCCTTTCAACTTAAAATCCCTATTTGGCTAAATTCAGGTCTTGAATTTAAATCTACATCTCTTATCCCCAAGCAGTGCCTACGAGCCAGTGACTATGGCATGTGACAGAAGTGATTATCAGAGACTTTTAAGTAAAGCAGGAAAATACAAAGCAAACACAGTGACAGATAGTCCCTTAGAACAGCCAGTAGGCCTTAGGTTAAAATACAGTAATAGTTGAAAATGTGGGGTCCTGAGTAAGTTTTCCAGTCCCTGCTACAACAGTATATGTTCCCTGACTTTTCTGTGAGGAATAGATGACCCAACCTTGGGTCTAGAACTAGCAGACAGGCACTTTAAATAAGGAGCAGGAGTTGCTGCTTCTCATCTCAGGTCCCTGTGGGCTCACTGAGCACTCCTGAGTGGTGCCTAACTCTCCCTGCGCATTTCACTAGCGCTTAGCTCAGAACTGTGATTTCCATTGCATGGCAGGCACCGGGACACAAGCTGCAACATCTGGAAATGTAACTGGTATGGTCTTTTCTGGCTCTTGCAAGTTTCACTGAAGAAATTGTGGCTCAAACTATAGCAACTTTTCAGGTATGACCCACAAAATGGAAAATTTCACATATCAGGTTCCCACACACTATGGGAACAAGTGCAGTGTAAAAGATTGTGGACAAAAGTCTAAGTGTTAAGATTAGCAGGTGGGCAGGCTCAGTGCTGTGCTCCATGTAAAGCCTTTTGCCCCCCCATTGACAATGGCCTGACTGATGAGCTGAACTGAAGGACTGATCTGAGCCTGATATATATGAATGTGGCTTTACTGAAGTGCACAGTTCTGTCTGTTTTGCCAGAAGGCTGAACCTGAACTCAGGAAGAGAGTTTTCAATTATTTTATGACCAATCAGTTACACTGTTCAGTGCTGGATGTAGAGAGCACTTCAGCAATGACCATCTTGCTTCCCTGATGAATCCTGCTTAGGCAGAACTAAGCTGAAAAACTGAACTGGTTGGCTTCAGGTATATTCCTCCTATGTTTGGACATAAAATAAATAAAGTAGGCAAAGTAGAATGTAATAGCCCCACTGTCAAATAAAAACAAATAAGAAATAAAAAATCAAATTAAAAAAAATAAACTCAGGCATTCAAAACAAGCCATGAGAATAAAAACAATTCCTATTGCCTCAAAATCTATTTTCTAGGCTAAAATATAAATCCTATGGCACTAAAGCAAACATTATTTTTTACAGTGGGACAAGTTCCACTGCTTTTGGTACACTATTATTTTTGCCTATAACTAGAGAAATATTAACTTTGCATATATAGAGATAAGCTCAGTTTCTGAGGACTAACAGCCTTTAATAATTTTACATTAACTTAAAAAACACCCCAGTAAAGGTTACTTTAAGAGTTTAGAAATTCAGGATTACACAGAAAGGAAAAGTTTCAGTGGATCCTTCAATAAAACCCCCATATTTAAAATCCCTAAATATTCGTGTCTGACTAAGACATTTATTTCTTTCCTAAAACCCATCAAACTGCTGTCAGCCCATATTCAAAACCGTTCAAAACATTACAGAGTCTGAACAAAGTGCAAAATTTCTATAGTCAAGACGACAATTAAACAAGTAGTTGTTTGTAAAATGAGACCTTCCGAAATGCCTCCTGGTGATTCGTAAGATGGAAAAGACTTTGTTACTAAGTAAGCAAGAATTATTCCAAGGTACTTTTTACAAAAATATTTCAGTGGACTGTAGTTTACAAAGTCAATATTCCAATCAATATCCTCTTGCTGACAAGCATAATCTCTATTCAGAAATCTCTAGTTCTGCAACACTGAGTCAATGCGCCTAAATGTCCATGTATGCCAATTTCCCACCAACCAAACTCCTATGGTAGATGATAAATAAAAATTATGTAAATTTAAGAGATTCTAAATATTTTTAATCTCATTTGCTTTGCTATCTGCTGTGTATGAAATACCAGGCCATTCCATAAGAAAAGAAAAAAAGAGTATTTCTTTAGATACAGTTCAGTACTTTAGATGAGGTTAGATACTTAGTTTTAGTTATTCCTGAGTTGAAGCAACAATTCTGGAATTTCTGCTTCATTTGCAAAGTTAGGCAGCAGATTTCAGCCCCACTAAAATCAGTTGGAACTGCAGGAGCTTAGTGTCTTTGAAATGCAGGCTTCACATCCATTCAATCATGGCATAGGCAAGGAAGCATGTGTATCTTGTCCAGAGTCAAGGACACAAATTCAGAGAGCATATACATTTTTCAGAAGATCACCTGCAAGTATTAATTTTGCTTTATTTTTATTTATTCTACTTTTTGGGGGGTGAGAGGGTAGCTCACTAAAATCTTTTTCAGTTTATTTACAACACTGTTGCACTAATTAGTTCTTGTTTAAAGAAATACAATATTTTTAGCTACTTACTCAAAAATATGTGCCATTAGTGTCAAAGAATGAATCACAGTCTGAAAATCACTAACAGCTGGGCAATTGGAGAAGTACTGGACTGGAATTAGCACAATTCAGCCTGGGATCAAGTTTTTTTCCCTTCAAGACTTGAAACAGACATTTGCCAAATAAGAAATAAAACTGACATATCAGTATGAAACAGAATTATGGGGGAGGAAAAGAGGCAGAAGCAGAAAAGACACCTAAAAGCAAGGCTCTCTTTTCCTCTACTGAGCTGGCCGGTTATGTTCACACTTTTTCACATAACTTGCCCTTCAAGTTACCCCTGTTGGTATCATCATTTCCCCAAAAGATGTTTAAACAAGTGGTCGTCCATGCTTGACAGCAGTTTTCACCCAGCACAGCTTTCTCTCACTACAGCAACAAAGCTACAATTATGATTGAGCCTGAGGCTCAAATAGACAAATACTTTCAGTATTGACAGTATTGACTTTCAGTACTGACATCACCATCCCAACATCCTCTGAGGTTTGCTGATCTTTTCTGATCTCTCTTTTGGTTGCTCCTTGAGCTGGCTCTGAACATAAAGTGGAGGTTAATTCACGCACTGATGAGAGATGTTAAAATAAATCCAAATAAGAGAGGAGATTCAGGAAGACTGGGAATAGAAAAAAGACAGAGCAGAACAATGATACAGATAAAAGACAGCAGAAGAATGATATCCTGTGCCATTTCTGGAGCACTAAAGAATTGTCAAAAGATTTTAACTATTTTTAATGTTCTATCCATTAGGATATTATTGCAGGCTTTACGCATACCTGGTGCCCACCTTCAAGATAAGACAAATTTTTAATACATTAATGAGTACTATATACATTAGTTCTTATTAATAAACACTTATGAACACTTTCTACTCCTATGTAACATCATGCACTTAAACAGCTTTAGGAAGTGGAGTGTCAGGAAAGCTCCATCTCCAAGGTTTTATGACCAAATCAAGAACATCCATTGGAATGCCTTAAATACTGCCAGATCAGCATTGAAGGGCTACTCAACTAATTGAGACTTCCCCCTTTTCTGTAATGCTACGCTCTGCCAATAATTAAAATTTAAGTGTTATCAGCAATTAAACTTCACACCATCCTGCATTTAACCAGTAACTCTTGAGATTATGGAAAAGGTTGGGGGGAAAGAAATAACCTCCAAAGCTCTAGAACAAAACAGAAATCTGCAAAGATCAAGACACAAAGAGTAAAACACAGCCTATAAGCAAACTA